TAGACGTTTGGTCATCTACTGCAGTGAGACTACCGCGAATCATGCCATTTGACACTGCTGTGCCTCTTCCAATCGATGAGATACCGTTCTCTATGATGAACGACGGGGCTATCAGCGATCAAACGCATGGCATCACCTCACCTCTTCTCGCGGAGATGATCAAGCTCAATCGGATTCTGGCGAGGATCATCGACTTCAATCGACTGTGCGTGTCAGAACACCTTGAAGGCCTACCGCTTGAGAAAGGGATACGCGAACTATCCCGCGATCTCGATATCTGGTTGGAGGAAGTCCCGCACCATATGCGTGACACGCCAGCAAATCTGACAGCCTTCGCATCGCGTGGCCTTGGGCGTATGTTTGTAGCTGTGTATCTCGGCTACTACCACTACGGACTACTCCTGAACTATCAATTCTTGTCATCTTCAATCGAAGCGTCACCCGACTCCGGACGATATGCTGATGCCTGCAAGCAACATGCCGCCCGACTTTGCGCCCTCGTCTACCGCTCACAGTCCACGCCTGGGAGCGAAGTCTTGTATCCGGCAGTTTCGCATATCCTTGTCGTTGCTTCCACCGTTCAGATCCACACCTTGCTCTTTTCTGGTGACGAAAGCCAGATACGCATCTCAAAGACCAGATTGGAACGCAACTTCGAGATACTCCTGCGACTGAAGACCTATTGGCCGAGTGTCGACGGTGCAATGAGTCGTCTTCGGGCGTTCCACCAGACCTGTCTCCGAAGTAAAGAGACCAGCTTTGTGCTTGATCGGTGGCTGTTGCGCTTCCTGGTCCAATTTGCCCCTCACATGGAGCTCGAGCCAAGGGATAACGACCCCGAGTACGAAGCGTTGCTCGCATTGAGCAGGCAATCCCCATTGTCGTGCTATTCAGGCCTGTCCATGTGATCATGCGCGACCGAGATTCAAAGCAGCACGCTGGATATCCTGGAGAACGAGCACGGCAGCGAAGTGGTTCATTACGGCTCAAGCTGGTGGAGCCGAAATTAGCGTCGCGAAACTCACGAGCTTTCCTGGAGTGTGGAGCCCCAAGAGAGCCAGGGCTTGGCGACAGGGTCCGTCGCTCACGTTCGCGGTCCACTCAAAGTGGTACACACGTGTAAAGCTGTTTAAGAGTCTGAATTGTGCTTCTTTGCTCGAAGCAAGAATCATCTTCGCACTCCAGTCATGGCTCTATCACACAGCACCATTCTCGTGGTCACGACGCTGCTGGGCAGCGCGACTGCGATCAACAATGGCCTCGCTACTACCCCTCCAATGGGCTGGGTAAAGACATTCTTATCCTACTCTTGAATTGTCATTAACAAGATCAGAACAACTGGAACGCTTTTGGATGCGATGTCTCCGAAGACTTGCTCCTTACAACGTCCGCACAGATTGTGAGCTTAGGCTTGCGAGATTTGGGCTACAACTATGTCGTTCTGGACGACTGTTGGCAGAACCCAAAGGGTCGAGACAAGAAGGGAAAGCTTCAACCGGCGCTCGACAAGTTCCCCAACGGTCTGAAATCTATCTCAGATCATCTGCATAGCCAAGACTTCAAGTTTGGCATGTACAGCAGCGCTGGTGAAATGACATGTGCGAGATTTGGTAAGACGAATGAAGTATATGTACTTCTCACAGTATGCTAATCTTTACTAGAGGGATCATTGGACCACGAAGTTGACGATGCAGAGAGCTTTGCAAGCTGGGGTGTTGACATGTTGAAATACGACAGCTGCTACCATATGGGTCGTGTTGGTACACCGTCAGTGTCGTTCAACCGCTTCAAGGTTATGTCGGATGCCTTGAGATCAACAGGAAGGAATATTCTCCTCAATCTGTGCAATTGGGGAGAGGATCTTGTTCACACAGTAAGCACCATGAGATACGTATCCGCTATGGCGTTCAAGGACTTACCATCGACAGTGGGGTATGAGTATCTCTAATAGTTGGCGCATCACCGGTGACATCTACGACTCTTTCTCTCGCCCTGATGATCTCTGCGGATGCAACACCGTATCACCCGGCGACGTAAACTGCGTAGCACCAGGCACACATTGCTCCGTTCTCTTCATTCTCAACAAAGTTGCGCCCTTTGCCGACCGCAGCATCCCCGGTGGATGGAGCGATCTGGACATGCTCGAGGTCGGCCAAGGTGGTATGACCGACGAAGAGTACAAAGCACATTTCGCTCTCTGGGCCGCCATCAAGTCTCCACTATTCCTCGGAAACGACCTGCGCAACATGCCAGCTTCCGCCCTCAACATCATCAACAACCCAGCTATTATTGCGCTGAGCCAAGACCCCCATGGACGAAGCGTAACGCGTGTTCGAAGGGACACGGAAGGTGTAGCGAAGGACGAGTGGGGTATGGGTGAGACGCACGTGTGGGCAGGTCATCTCCAGAACGGCGATGAAGTCGTGATCTTGCTCAATGCCGGTGGCGAAGACATGGAGATGAGCGTCTCTCTCGCGGAGATTTTCATTCCGTACGGACCCGGTGGATCAGCGCCCCACGTCAAATACGACTGGGCAATCCACGACCTCTGGGCTCATCGCATGCCCGATGCGACAGCGGAAGAGCTTCTCGCAGCGGCCTCGCACACCGAGAGAGAATCGATCCTGTCAAAGGCTAATTGGTACAACGCCACCGAGATCCCTTACGCCAGGGGTCTGGTTCAGGAAGACCCGCGACTCTTCGGCGAGAAGATTGGCGTTGTTGAGGCTGGTGGTAGGCTCAAGGCAAACGTCAAGAGTCACGCTGCTCGCGTCTTCCGATTACGAAGAATTGCGCCAGAGGACGATCAGTTCGAGGCGAAGAGTATTGCGAGAGAAGACGGTAACGAGAGGGATGAATTGTAATGATGAGGCGATTAGTAAGGTACCTTGGTGGGACAAGAGACAGCCTACCTTGATGGAAAACAGAAAGGGACATATGTTCTCAGAGTTGCGATACTTCTCATTCGCAATAAATCGTGTGAATTTTGGAAGGTGCGGTTGGCTCGTTATCTCCAGGTCATCACAGTACCATGGGATGGAGTGGATATAACCAGAGTATGGACTTCTGGAATTTTCGAATATATTGAGATCTCGCTCTTCCTCCTTCCTACCTATCCTAACCCTTACACAGGCTTTCTCTGTGTTCTTCATCACACAAAGCAATCAAATCTACACCAGACGCAACCATGACCAAAAACGCAAAGGTTATATCCCCGGCTCAAGCCACATCCGCAACCCAGACGACATCCTGGGAATGGTCAGCTCCATACTTCGTTAAGCGAGCGCAGGAAGTTCAGGCCAGATTAGATCTCCATCGGCAGACTATGAATAATCTTCAGGACAAGTATAAGAACCTTCAGAACCAGAATAGGAACCTGCAGGACCAGAATGAAAACCAGAAGAAGGATCACGAACGCGAGTTGAACACATGTATCGGAACGTTTATTGTCGTTTTGCTCACCTTCGCCGCCTTCATGATATGTGGCTTTCTACCATCTTCTTCGCCCGAACATTGTTCATTTGCGCTAGAAGCGGAAGCTGTCCAGATGACGGCCACGCCTACAACGGTCACGGTCACGCTACCGGTAGCCACGCCTACTACAGTCACAGTCACGCTGCCGGTGGCAACCAACGCCGTGCCGACAATCAAGGCCGCACCAGCCTTCAGCCTGACCCCTACAGCTGATCAAGTAAGCTTTGGTCTTCGATCATACATCTATTATAAGCTCTTAACATGCTAACGCCTCAACAGGTATGGACTGGTCTGACGAAAGAACAAGTATTGTCCATCATCCTCGAAAACAATAAGATCCAAGCTCGATACAACGAAAACTATAGGACCTGGAGCAAGGAAGAAGACCGGAGGTTTTGGTCCTCGTATAGTTCGAAATATTCGTTAAAACCAACTCCAACACCTGCTCGATTCAGCGATAACTATAGGGCCTGGAGCACAAAAGAAAGTGATGGGTGGTGGGAACAGTGGGATGCCCAGGAGGCCCAGAGAAAATCATAAGATCAAGAGTTCTGGTTTTCGTGGAGTTCGAAATATTCGATAACACCAATTCCGACGCCTGCTCGTTAGGCTACCGCGTAGGTGCTCTTTGAAGGCCAGTGCAAGCATACCAGATTGCTTCTCTACAATCGCTTGGTGGTCGTATCTCTGAGCCAGTTTTGAAACCTCGTCATGATTGGGTTTCGTGTCGTATGCGACGTCTTTGAACAACTAGCCAGGCGTCTACAAAGAAGGCAGCGCTTCGCAACTTGTATTTCATACTCTAGATATCAGTATACGTCATCTTTCTCTCTCTCGACATGCGAAACTGCAGCACTGCGAATCCTCCGGGGGTAGGCCCTGCTACATCTTCCAGCTCATTTCTCCAGCATAGTATGCTCCAGAGTCTCTCCCGAACTTGTCCAGCTTGTAAGTCACGTCAATTCGTATTCTACACGAGGCTGGGTTCTATCAGCGACACCGAACTTACAACACCATGACTTCTTCCGGAAGAGCTAGTTCACTAAAGTATCTGATGTCATATCGCGCTCGGGAGGATACTATATATCGTCCGCCTTGTGTACCCTCCCTCCTCTTCTCTTCTCTCCTCTCAGCGTCGTGATATCTACATCCACCGACAATTAATCGATCATCTTTTACTTCTTACCATATACGTCTACCATATATCAACATACGCATCTATATCCATCATCTCAATCTCCATCATGAACACCCTACCCTCTTCACCAGCATATTACCTTGGGCCGGTCAATTGCCCCGTTCTGCCAAGTCACCGCATGGATGGCTTGAAAGAGCGCGATCCATCAAGGGCAGGGGAACTATACACAGCAGAGATCGGTCAGACAGTCAACACCATCAACCATCAGAGGAACGCGGTTGAGTTGATCATGGCGAGATGATCCGCTGTAGACCCAGTTCACTACCCAACTATTCTGGGCGTGAGCCAAAACAATAGTAAGAGTGAGGAAGTAAAGGCTGTAGTCAGCATGGTGAGCACCATGCAGACCAGCTGGATCGGCCAGTCCTCTTGGGTCCAAGGCTACATCAAGGGAGAGACTGATTGGCACGATCTTCAAGCCCATATCAACAATCTCAACCGATTTCGACTTCTGCTCAAGGTACCACAGCAAAATGAGACTGCCTTGCAGAGGACCGACCGCCGAGCTCTGCAACGCGCATACAAGAAAGCAGTCAGGATCCATACCGAGCACACCCAGACGGGTGATCTCCAAGCCTACAACAATAACCTGGGTCGTGTGAGTGCGACCTTGGAATGACTGAGCTCGGTGTTTACAATACGGTTAGATCTTAGCGAATGAGATTTCTGAAAGGAGGCGGAGGCCTACGAGCCGATGCTTGGAGGCTAACTATATAGCATCGAAGACCCGGAGGAATACGATACAGTTTATGAGTAACGCCGCAATATTCCAAAGTGGACTCTGGCTAGTACAAAACCACCTACGTTGTTCAGAGCCCGCGACAGGCAAAATCCGGGAGGCTCGAGCATACGATCAAAAAGGTTGTCGACACTGTCAATACCATACCGACACACAAGATGTCAGATCTGGACGAGCGAGATCCTGCGAGAGCAGCCAACGAGTAGCAGAATCTCCAAGGAAATCAGCCCAACAGCAACAAGGTCCAACGCAACATGATGAAGCATATCATGGCTAGATATTCCCAAGTCGATCCGATCTATTACAGCACCGTTCTCGGAGGCGGGCAGGCGAATGCCGGACAACTCGAGAGTGCCATCAAAAAGTCCGTAGATACCATTACCTCTAACTGGATTATAACTCCCTCGTGGCTCCAAGCTTTTGTCGAGGGCGAGACATGCTGGTCGGACTATCAAGTTATCATCAACAACCTCCACCGCATGTCAAAGCTCTTGAAGCTGATCCCGGAGGGCGAGACGCCTGAGAACCGCGCATTACGCCTCACACGCCGCGAAGCGTACAAGAAAGCTCTGCGCGCCCATCAAGAACACGTCCGTATGGGGGTAGAGGCAGCACTGCAGACTGCAGAAGATGCGATAGAAGACTTGTCGGCGTGACCCAAGTTGAGCTTCAGGGCGCTTAGGACAAGCTCGCTTCCTTCCGCGGCCATGTAGAAGGCATCATCCCCACAACCTGGCGGGCGTCTCGATCTGGTACGGATGAGGAGGCAGCGGCGACCCCGTCGCTCGCCGCGCCCTTCGACGAGCGGACAAGAAAGCGATCCGAAGTCACACGGGCATAACCACCCAGACGCGGCACTGGAGCTCGGTGGCGCCGAAGTAGCACTGGAAACTGTCCCGACGCTCAGAGACGGTATCACTCAAGTCGAATAGAATAACGCCGTACCGCGTAGCACGTACCACAAGAACCCCCCTTAGCTCGCAGACCTCGTGTCCCAGTATATCCTAGAACCTCTGAAGGCGACAGCAGTGTGTCAGAGCTCGTCAACCAAGTCTCTCGTTCGAAGCTCGGTTGACTTCCCCGACAACAAGGCCCTCGCCTATGCAGAGTTCAAGCGCGCTGATTCCATCCTCTACCCTCCACAAAACGCGAACGCCTCCGGTTCCCACATGATTTTGTGGGTCCAGGGTGCCCTAAGCAAGAAGATGCGGACTAGGAAGCGGGCTCGAGAGAGCGATGGTGATGAGGAGGAAGGACGTGGTATGGCGGATTTCTTACGTGATGGAGAGTGAGGAGTTGGAATGGAAGTGCCTGCTACGTGCAAGGTCTAGAGAGGAAGTCGCGCTTGCCGGTGAATACAGGCGAGTCCGTGGCAGCCCGATGAGCGAGAAAGGGTGGGAGGATGGTCTTTAGAAGAGCGAGAGTGCTACGCTTATCTATTAGGAGGAAGGCCTCGATCGGTAGTACTGCGATGGACGTCTACTTCCCACTAAGATCTTACACCCGCCGGACTGAGCCGCGGCTGCCGCCTTCACAGCGCGCACTGCGACGACAACGACATGCGTAACATGTACCCCGATAACTTCCACCTTGTCAGTGTATTGGATAGATACACGTATCCTTCTGGGACCGGAGAAGTAATTTATCAACAGCGGTGAGAGATCTATGCAAGCTTCCAGGTCTATTTTGCTGTTTTATCAACTGCTGTGTTTGATTACGTATTCTCCCCGGTTTGCTATACGTATGCTTTCGCACTCACCTCTACACCCGCGTATTCTCCCCGGTACACTTCCATCCTCTCCGCCGCTCCCACACCCCGAAACGTACTCTTCGCGCACACTCCACGTAGTCCACTTAAAGGTGTAAGAAAGCAACGTATTCTCCTCGCAGCGCACTAACCCAACACAATCACTTGCGAAAACTAGACATATCCCTATTCCTCTGAACAACCATCTGTTCCTCAGCACTTCAATTCCTCTCGCTACGCCATCCCGTACCACCCCTCACGATCGCGGAAGCACTGCTTGTCTCATCTTACATGACCAAAAGTTCATTTCTAGTATACACATCTCAGGCTGAGTGGGCGGGGAGTAGCCAAAGTGATAACCGAAGGCCGGGATACCTGATGCTTGTTCAGAACGGTATGTATGTTATGGGTACAAGGAAAGGGTCTCTATGTTGGATTTTTCTTGGTTGGGTTTGGCTGTATCTTTAGAAGAGCAAGACGGAAGAATAAGAAAGGAGAGTAAAAAGGCCAGCACATACGTTTGACGATATACACTCGTATTCAAAGTTCACATTGCCATCTTAATCGATCGATCTATGCATCTAGCCTCTCATCTCGCTACTTTAACAGCCCTCCTCCCCCACTCGCTGCCCTCCCTTTCCACTTCCATTCTAATCTACAGTTCATCACTCCCCTCCTCCCTCTTCCCCTTCCCATCTCCCTTCCCCCCCTGCGCCACCAACCTCTCAATAGCAGCCTTAATATCCTCCTCACTCGCCTCACTTCCAATATCCAATTTCTTCAACAACCTGCCCTTCTCATCCGTTACATCCCCCTCCCCCTCTCCATCCGTCTTGCTCCCCATATTGCTCAGCTTAATACCCTCAGCGCTAAACCCCGCCTTCTTCAACGCCTCCTCCAATTCCGCCTGACTAGGACCGCTCTCACCGTCTGCAGCGGGGACATCAGTCTCCTTCGTCTCCGCCTTAGCAGATTTCTTCGTCTTAGTCTTCTTCGCCTTCTTAGTTTTCGGCTTCGCGGTCTTGGTCTTTGAACTGGATTGGTTCGGGGGCTTGAAGTGCTTCATCTTCTTCATCATCATGTCCATGACGACGTCGTCTAGCTTCTTCTTCTCGGCCAGGATGTCCTTGACCGTGAAGACGGGGTCATCTGTGGGGCCTAGTTCAGCCTGCTTGGCTTCGTTGTCGTCGAGCCAGACCTGTGCTTTTTGTGCGTGCTCTTGGACGGTCTTGAGGTCGGATTCGGTGTAGATGGTAGGGACTTCGGTGATTTCAGGCGCGGCGGGTGCGTCGGCTTCTTCGTCGAGGTCGTCCATGGGGTCGGTGGAGGGCGAGGCGGAGGCGTCAGCGGAGGCTTTGGAGACGGCTTCGCTGCTCTTGGAGCTCTCGGCGGATTGCGTCTTGATTTGGCCGTCGACTAGTTGCTCGACTTCCTTGATGTGGGCGATGGTGTCTTTGAGCTCTTTGATGGCATCGGGGCGCTTGGATGCTTCGTCCTTGCGCTTCATCACTGGGTTGACAATGTTCTCGAGCTCCTTGAGCTTGCTCCTAAGAGTCTTCTCGTCGGCATCGGCACCGCCGGAGTACATCCAGTCTGAGGCGGCGCTGAGCGTCTTCTCGAGTGTTTCACGGACGGCAGAGGTGGAAGCACCGATGAACGATTCGTCCTCGAGATAGTCGCGAGCGCGGTAGGTGAAGGCTTCAAGCGAGTTCAAGACCTCTTCGCGGGTGCGGCGAGACTTGTCAGATGAATCGAAAGCGGCGAGCCTGTCGACGTTAGTGTTTGAACGAATACAACAAAGCTCACAAACTCACCTGTCCTGCATCCTCTTCATCTCCTTGCGAGGGAACTTCTTGTAACCCAACTGCTCAACATCATACGTGATCGCAGACCTAACAGTCTTAATCTTCTTCTCTCCAGCCTTCGCAGCATCAGTGCTCTCAGCACCTGCGGAAGACGAAGACGACGATGACTTGGAAGACTTGGAGGACGAAGCAGATGAAGAAGAAGAGCTCTCGCCCTCCTTCAACGGCTCCTGATCCTTCTTACCACCCATACCAAACAGGTTCTTGACACCATCGACGATGCCGCCCTTGACATCCTCGCTCTCAGTCTCGCAGGTGACCCACGCAGACAAGACCTCAGGAGTACCAGTAACAGGGCTGAGCCTAACTTGGACATAGTTATTGAAGCTATCACGCTCACACTTGTTCTCGTTGATCATGTGAGTAACAACCTTAGTCAAGTTGCCGCTCTGGAAGTGAAGAGTAGGCTCCTTGGACACCTCGCCGTTAGCACCAGGAACAGCCTGGTACATGGTGAACTCGAACTCGCCCATGAAGTTGAAAGGCAGGTCCTTGGTCGCGCCAAGCTTGGTGTTGGGGGTGAAGATCTTCTGGTCGCGCTCCTTAAGGTTGAGCATGTACTGGTAGCCGTGGTTGTAGCCCTGGGTGTCCGAGTCGCGGATCTCCTTGACGCGGAAAGATGGGCTGAGACCAGCGGCCTTGAATGCAGCGCCAAATACGGCGGCCTCGTCGGCGTTGACGTTTGCCCTGATCTTGCTCTTGCCTGCGACTGCTTCGAGACGGGCCTGGACAAAGGGTGTGCGGCTCGCGCCACCGTGGACGATGACAGAGTCGATATCAGCGAATGTAAGACCAGCGGCTGCGAGGGCCTGGTTGATCGGTCCATCGATACGCTTGGCGTAGTCGGCAGTGAGCTCCTCAAACTTGGTGCGAGAGAGCTTGTACTTGAAGTCGACATCCTCGTAGAAGCTCTCGAAGAAAGAGTTAGTTTCCTTGTTAGCGCTGAGCATCTGGCGAACCCTCTCAGCCTCCTTGAAGAGCTTCGCGGCGGTACGTCCATGACCCTTGACCTTGTCGGCGGTGAAAGAAGCGCTCTTGGCAGCTGGAAGCTCAACAAAGGTAGCCACCATGTCGTCGACGATGAGCGAGTTCATCGCATCACCTCCAAGCGTCCTATCCCAGCCAGCGCCCATGACCTGAACCTCCTGGATAGTCTTGTTGCGCCTACCAACATCCTTGACAGACCTGCCCTGGAACTTGAGAACAGTAGCCGACAAGGATCCAGCGCCCATGTCAAACACGAGGTTCGTCTCCGGCTTGCCATCCTTGGTAACGTCGGGGAAAGTCCTGCCAGTAGCATAGTTGAGACCAACAGCCAGCCCATCTGAAACAACGCTGAGCACCTTGAGACCAGCCAGACGAGCAGCAACCTCAAGCGCGCGCCTCTCGTCTACCGTGTAGAATGCCGGAACCGTAAAGACAACGTCCTGGATATCGTAGCCCTTGCCCGCCATCGCCTTTGCGTTCTCCCTGACGTTCTTCAACTCCATAGCCAGTAGCTCCTCAACGGTGTATGATTTGTCCTCAGCGAAGACGCTGCTCACAAAGCTAACCGTGTTGCGCTTGTCCGTTCCCGTAACCTCCAACGCAGGGTATCTCTCCTTGTACGTGCCCACGATATCGCTCTCACTCGACACACCAAGAAGGTGTTTCAGATTCGGGTATACATCGCCCGGGAAGCGTCCCTGGAGCGCAATCGCATCGCCGCCGTAGAAGCGCTCGGGGAAGGAGCCCGCAGGTAGAGCGCCGCTCTTGGAGGGCTTGAAAGCGACGGCTGACGTCTCTTTCCGTTTCGAGTCTTTGGTCAGGACGATTTCGAGGGGAACGCCGGGCTTTACGAGCGCGGCTTTGATGTATTCGGTGCCTAGGTCTACGCCGATGACGGCTGAGGCGGCGGAGGCGGTCGTCGAGAAGAGGAAGAAGAGACCGAGGAGCATGGCTCTCGGTGACAGGTTGCCTCTCCGGCGTCCGGGTGGCGCCATGATGTGTGGTGTGGTGCGGAAAGTGAAAGGTGTCGTTAACGGCAGGCGTGGAGAGGTTGTGGTGGGATGTGCGTGCTTCGCCGCGGGGAAGAAGGTGGGAGGTTATACGTTGCGGTAGAAAACCTCGATAGAAGAGAAGAGAATGATTGGGAATCTATCCCAGAGAAAAAGTGGTGAATAGGTTGTCGGTCGAAACCGTGGTCCTTTGAGCGTTGAAATGCGAGGGCGGTTTCGTAGTAATGTACTTGGATCGAGCTACCCTGTCCCGGACTTATTTGACACCTGGTCTTTCTCCAAAGGACAGTTTGACGTTATAGCATCAACGCAACGTCACATGTAGAGGCGGTCGTTTGATGAAAAGCTTAATTCACTGCTGCCTACTACTTCTTTTGGATCGAGGACATTTGGTCTTATCTAGTAATCGTGACGAGTCCTTTGGATGCCCTTCAAGATCCTTTGAGCAATCTGGCCAATCACAGCGTCAGGAAAACCGTCTTCGCCGCAATGCAGCAGCGCGACCATGCCCTCCGCCTGCTTGCAGCAATGTTCGACTGCGTCTGATGCCTGCAGCATGGCATACACGCCTGAAGCATTTCACACAATAGTTCTGTCCCTGCTGTTCAGATATACAGCCACCGTGTTCTCTTGCCATACTACCGGTCCATCATATCCCACGGTTAAACTCCACCATGCCATCC